GTTTCTTCTTCATCCAATGATAATATTAATCTTCCAACTAAATTTTTGTTAGGAAAGTTGTTTTTTAATTTCAAGCTCTATTTTTCGTTTTGTTTTCCGTTTTGGTCGATTTTGTCAATGTAGCAGGCCTACCGGGCTTCCCTCTCTTACCATGCTGTTTTGTTTATGAAAACTATACGCATGCGTGTACATGTATAGCATGGAATGTGGGACCTCGAACACGTTGCGATGTATACACTGGACAAAATTGCTAACGCACCACCTTAGAGAATTAATATTTTACTTTTTGGTATAGAGACCGAGGTATCAGGTGATTACTAGGGGATATGAGAGTCCATGACTATTAGTTATTTGATTTTTAACTGGGAGACTTCTCCTGTGGCAATCTCACAGACCTCCTTTAGTGATCAAGAATTTCATATCTGTGCAAAAATGGTGCGCAGTGCACAGCTGGAAATTGGTTTTCGGACAAGAAGGTCATTCAAGGGTTTTTTTCATGATGCCAAGACATTTGTCAATCCCACTGCTTTTGAAATAATGGGATATCATATACACTAGAACTGATCCGGCAAATGTACAATTCACAAATAAAAAATAACAAGTGGTGCGTTAGAAATTTTGTCTAGTGTATATTTATGTACCATAAATAATTATTAATTTTAATGAAATAATCAGAATTATTTACTTAAAAAATTTGTAATTTTCTGAAAGTGTATACATTTATGAGTATGAAAAAAATTCCAAATCCTATAGGAAAATTTTAACAAGTCTGTTTTTGAAGAGATGCGTCATTATTGTCACTTTAAAATAGACATTTAATATTTTATCTTCAAAAGACGATGAAATCCTGTTGATTTTGTATTAAATATGGAAATTGTTATAGGATATTCATCAAGGTCATCTTCTGAAGAAAAAACAAGTTTTCAGTTGCCGTTATTTATTAAGGACTTGTTCAAACTGAATGATGGAACTACGAAATCATATAACTCATCTGAACACAGACACACGTTTATATTCACAAAAATAAAATATAATTAACTTGATAAAATAGAGTAGATATACATTTTATCCAATGATCCGTTTGCATCAGTGGGCCTTTGTGACGTCATAAACAACAAAATCAAGAACGATAAGCGGGTAAGAAAAGTAACAAGTGGAATATTTTTTATCTTAATTTTACATCAGAACAAAGGCCAGAAAATATAACTACTTGTAATTTAACATTCTCTCATATGTAGCTTTGGGTTTAAAATGTGAAATTATGGTGTTAGGAATTGTTTCCCATGACCTTTATAAAATTTTAATCTCTTGACCTAAATCTTTTAGTTTGAGTTGCATCAGAAACTATATTCTTTGCTCTGAGATTAGTAATATGTGTTTTTCGTGAGATATAGTTAATGATCAGATTAAAAAAAGAGAAGAATGAATTGCTCACTAATAAACATAAGAAGTAGAAGTGCAATTTAAAAAAACAATTGTATTTTGTTTACTATATTATATTTGCAGTAATTTAATCAGAACCACTGGGTACATATATGTATATATCAATCAAATCTGATGTTACTTCCCTTTGGTGTAAAATAAATTGAAAGAAATTTCATTGTCTTTCACAGATAAAATAAAATAAAACATATTTTGAATTTGGATAGATTCACTTTGCCATAAAAAAAAAATTGTTATACCCCTACTAGTCAGTCCCTATATATTTTCTTACTTTAAAAAGTCAACAAATCGACTGTTTCCCCGACTGTCGGTCCAAGGAACTGTTAAAATTGACTGTTAAAAAAGACTGTTGCCCACTGACGTCATATGGCGCGAAACTGCGTTATTTTTTCTTCATTCGACAAACCTCGGCTGATTCGCATAACCGTGATTTAAATGTTATCAGCTTAGGAGTGCCGAGTAATCTTAACATGTCGGTAAGATAAACAGAACTGGCCGATGTTCGTTTCGCTGCGGCAAAGGAGGATGAAATCCGGTCGATACTCGAATATTGTTGATGTTACCGAAGAAGAACTTGCTCTCCTTCTTGACAACCCAAGGTTTGGAAATTTTGAGAACACGAAAATCAGTATTCCACAAAATCAATCTTTTCTTTTCATGGATGTAACGTTACCATTAGCAATTAAAATGTGTTCAAATTTATTGTAGAATTGAAATGTATTCTACAAATTCTAGCTAGTAGCTTTTAGCTTCAGAACTGTTTAATATATCATTGTTTGTTATGATCCATGATTGTTGATATAAAGACACATACACATGATAAAGCCTCTCTATCTCCCAAAACAGTTTAACTTTTGTTAAATATATGAATTTGATTTGGTAGGAGTATAACAAAACAGTTGATGACAGGGGTCTCGGCCTTGGGCAACTTTTTGCACACTGGTCCAACAGTTCGACTGTTGCCCCCAACCCCAGTCAACAACTGTATACTGTGGATGCAAGTTTTGCAATAAGATCTATGAAATCATAATCATAGTCAAATGTATATCTGAAAACAAACTCTTGGATAACAGAGTTCAACTGATTCAAAATTAAATGAAGAGTGAAATTCTCATCAACTGAAATTGCATACACATTTTATATTACAATAAAAAGCCAATGAAGTCACTCTTGATATTTAATTATATTCACATAGTTATTAAAGTTAACATTTTAAAAGTGATTTTAACATTCAAATGAAAAGTACATGGGTATACTTCTGAAGTATTTCCATTCCATTCCTTAGTAATTTCTAATGCAAAACCTGGAGCCACTCACATAATAAAGCTTCTATTCTAAAAGAAAAAAAGAAACAAGTAGAAAGCAATTGAATTAAAGTTTTTTTTTCCGAACGTATTTTCAAACATTGTTATATATCATTTAAACTCAACTTTAGTCAACATGTTACCAAAATCTTATGTGATTGATTATTCACGAGTTATTAAAATTCATATTACGGTACCTCCGAAGGTGAAAATAAAAAAAATCTGAATTTTCTTTTCGCATTTTGCGCAACAGCTTTCATATTCCATAGGGATATCATTCAATCCTTTTCGCAGGGTGGCCTTTAGTTGGTCGAGAGTAGTTGAAGCATTCCAACTAAATGCCTCCAAACTGCCCAATCAATCCAACAGATATTCGACTGGATTTAACGAAGACGGACGTTTTGATGAATGTGAATATTTGTAATGAAATATATGGAGATAACGAACGGCAGAGGATACAGGGACTAATTGGGATCGGGTGCGATGGCGCAGTGTGCATCCCTTGCCAACTGGTCTTAACCTACTTGTATTCCTGTCATGATCGGGAACTAAAGGGAAATATCCGTCAACAATTAAGTGCGTAAATAATGGCCTAACAATTAGTATAAAAATGTCAGTCAGCATTCGACTTATTTATGTTAATTATAGATTGTATATTTACTGATAAATTCCATAAAATCTATGAAATGATGACTTTAAACGAGACTGCTGATATTCTTGTTTCATCAACTTGTTCGTCATTAACTTACCTCGTTCATGCATAGAGCATGTTCTTGCGTATCGAATCAACTGAGAAATATAAACCCCGTATGCAGAATACTGCTACATAGGTAAGGGAAGTTGACGATAAAAGTAAAAGTCATTACATTTATCATACAGACAAAAAGTGCAATCGTGATGTGACCTTGTTATGCGCCAAAGTCACAATCACGGTTAGATGGAAACATTTAAAGATACTTTTACAGCTTTACAATGTTATTTGGTAGAGGAAAATTTTAATTCTTCGTTGCCTGCCGTCGTTGTTGTCGTCGTAAACCTTTTGGACATTTATCTTCTTCTCCGAATCACTGAGCAAACTTTAAACATATCTTTATTGTAAAATAAATTTAAAGGGATCCAAATAGTTTGAATGAGAGGGATATAAAAGGGGATATAATTACGAAATAGTAAGAGTTCGGTTTTGCCATTCATTTAAAAATTTTCTTCGTAAAGAACACTGGAACAGAAAATAAATTATTGGAAAACTTCTGGAACAGAAAAGAAATTAAAATAATGTGAAAGCTTCCTGACGTATTCTAGTTATACGTTTCTTAAAATAATGACTCAAGAGGAAAGTATGGATCCACAGTTAGAGATTAAGCAATATATATAAATACAATTTTAGAAAAGAGCTATTAAAAAAGCTATGAAAAATTAAATTGCTATGAAAATAGCCTAAGGTAGGGAGGGGTAGAGAGGGATAGAGCGGGGCCACAATGAGCAAAATAGTTTAACAAAACATCGGATTTATTTATTCAAATTATTGAAAAACAAGTTGATGAAACAAGAATTTCATCCGTCTCGTTCAAATCATCATTTCGTAAGTTATATGGTAGATACAATGACCTTGTCAGCAAATACAGTTTATCATTGCATTGAGTCAAATGCTGACGTTTTTCATACTAATTATTAGCCCATTATTTATACACTGAAGTGACGACAGATTTTTCCGTCATTTCCTGATCATGACAAGGAGCACACTGCGGATGTGACGGGTCGGCGAGGGATGCTTACTCCTCCACTGCACCTAATCCAGCATGTGTTTTGGGGGTCCGTGTTTGCTCTGCTCCTATTTTGTATTGTTAAATGGGCTTTTGATCTTGAATACTGCTTGTTATCTCTATATATTTCCATTTCCAATTGTTTTCCCTATGATAGACACTACAAAAGTGTTTCTTGTTAATTTCATCATAATACCCTGTGGTATGTATATTTCTGTATTACTGAAAGGTCAAGTGTCAACCTGCATGTATATCATTGGCGTATGAATACACTGAAGAAAATATAGTTGTTTTGTTTAATTTGTTTACAAAGTAATAAGATATAATATTTCTTTTTACAAATATAATAAAAAATGAAGTATAGAAAAATTTGTTGAACTTTAAGTAGATTACAGGTTTTATTCAAATACATAAAGTAATTCTGTTGAGCGTCTGCTAAAATCACACAGTCTTCTGCAACTCCCCATCATTTCCAAAATCACAGTCAATAAGCATGGAGCCTGACGAGTCCTATGGAAAATTTAGTGTTATCCCCCCAGTATCTGAAAGACCAGAGTTAACCAATGAAGATGCAGAGTTATTGCTTTCACTTATATCTGATAACAAATCCGAGCTAGTTCCAATTGAACTGAAACCGGAGCCCTCTGACCATGATGTACCTGGCATGGATCCCTTTCATGATGATGATGACTCTCTTCTTGCTTCAATTACTGCATCGGACCTAATACCACATCTATCGCAAACTCCACTTCAAATGGATCTTCAGCAGCCTGCAGATCCTGGTTTGCCTCCCCCTGAAACGCCAAGTACAAGTTATAGATTTAGAAAAGTTACAGAGAAGCAGATAAAAACTTATCAAGAAATGACTCAATCCAAAAACACCAAAAAACACACCAAATGGGGCATCAAAATTTTAGATGGTAAGTTAATTATTCTGCAGATTCTTGAATACAAATTTATAAACATAATACATGTGCAGATTATAGTATAAATAGATATACATGTAAAAAAAAAAAAAAAAAAGGATCACAGATAAAAAATCAATTTAATTTTTAAAAAATTAAAATAAAACAAATAATAAGCAAATCAAATGTAAAAAATGTATAAAAATTATGATAAAAATATAGAAAAATTAAACAATAAAAGTTAACGGGTAACATAGTGCATGTACATGCATTGTAGATTGGCATTTGGAAACTTTCAATGACAACATTGACCTTTCATCAGTAAGCGCTGAAGAATTAGCCTCTAAACTTGAACGGTTCTACTGTGAAGCTAGACCTAGCAAAGCCAAAACACCAAATGAAGAGTACCATAAAAATACTTTGAAAGGCATACGTGCAGCAATCAACCGTCGGCTATCAGACCTGAGAAGGGATATTGATATTGTCAATGATAAAACTTTCAAAATGGCAAACAAATGCTTGACTAGCCTCCTAAAACAAAGGATGACAGAGGGAACATCTCGCCCCACAAAACACAAGGAAATAATTCCCAAACCTGATCTCCAAAAAATCTCATCCTTTCTAGAGACTGCATATTCCTCACCAATAAATCTTCGCTTGGCAATGTGGTATACCATAGCAATTCACTTTGTATCGCGAGGACTTGAGTTTCACCACCAACTTAAAAGGGACTCGTTCGAATTCAAAACCGACGAAAATGGTTTGACCTATGTCTGTCTCACTCACGAAACAAAGCAGAAAAACTACCAAGGTGGATTAGACAAACATGAGATGATGGCTGACAAACGAATGTATGAAACACAATCAAAAATTTGCCCAGTTCAAATGTTGAAGTTCTTCCTATCAAAGACTCCTATTACTGCTACAAATCTGTTTAACAAATGTGTGAGGGAGGCAATCTCGAATCCCGATCAAGAACTTTGGTACAACACTCACTCACTTTCTCAGAAAGCGTTTGTAAATTTCTTACCTGATATTTGCAAAATGGCAGGATGTCAACGCTACACAGCACACAACCTCCGAGCAACAGCAATCCAAACCATGAATGATGCTGGGTTTGAGGCGCGCCACATCATGTACATGTCCGGTCATAGGAATGAGGCTTCAATCCGGAGTTATTGTAGAGAGCTATCCTCGGATCAAAAGCAAGTTGCCAGTGCAACTTTATCAACTATCACCGAGGCCGAGAATGAGAACTCCACTTCCGTCAACACTGAATCATGTCAACAAATCGCCACAGCGTCATCCGACATCGTCCCTCAGTCCTTTAATTCCGACCGACAAATCGCTATAGCAACGCCATCATCTGCCATCGTCACTCAGTCATTTAATTCCGACAACTCAACCTCCTCCTCTTTTCTATCATCAACGCAGACCGGTTTCCTGAGCAGCTCCCGTTTTATTAACTGTACTCTGACTTTCAACATGGCTGCGGACAAGTAGCTTACACGAGTTTATGCTTCCGCTAAATCTATTATAGATCTAGGTCACATATTTATCATGATAATTAACAAGATTACTTTGTTCACGATTTAAATTCTATTGTTTCTTATTTTATAAATGTCAATATTAGAATACAGTAATTAAAAAAAATCATTTAATTTGTTTCGTGTTTTATGGGACTATTTTTTTAAAGTTAAATTTGACGTCACAGGTCGGCCTATATAAAACATGATGGATGCCATGTGTATTTCAAGTCTAGATCTATACAAACACTGGACGAGTACAAAAACAAATAAAAAATGAAAATATAAGGAATCACTGTCTAGTTTTGAGGGTATGCCAGGGACATCAACAATAGTGGGAAACATGGGATAATTTTAGCATAACGGGCTTCGCCCGTTATGCAAATTATCCCATGTTTCCCACTATTGTTGATGCCCTGGCATACCCTCAAAACTAGACAGTGATTCCTTAAATGATTCATTTAAAAAGAAATCCTTAAAATACGGTATGCAAAGCCATGATCGGTCATATCATACGGAAACATGTTAAAATATGGCCATTTTGGTTGAATCTGGTCCAGAAATTTTTAGAAAAGAAAAATAAAAAAGTTAAATGTAATGGCAACAGAAACTGTAAGAACTCAAAATGCCATTCCAGTCAAGTTAGTTGAAGTGATCTCCTGTTGTTTTCATATTAAATAGCTGGCCATGACCCTATGCAAGCTCGAAA